CTCTGGTGAATCCTCTCACCCTCCGCATCTCTGGCCTGTACCCCAGTTCTATATAAATAAATAAATAAATCTTAAAAAAAAAAGTTCACACAGGATAAAGTGCAACCTAATTTAGCACAAATTACTGTATTTGACAGATGAAGAAACACAGAGGAAAGTTCATTTTCTTTAGTTCAAATGGGCCTTATGAGGAAGAGCTAGCAGGAGACTCAGCTGCTGGTCCTTCTTAGTCCAAGTCTTTGCATCTCCTGTTTCACTCCCTACGATGGACCATTGCCAGGGACCTCTCTTCACAGAACAAACACATCACCCCCACAGATGCAACAAAGCTAAGCTGGAACTTAGAGCTTCTCTCCCCCAGTCTCCTTTCAGTATTTTTCAATTCATTTGAAATTTCTTATCAAATCATGTCCATTAAAAGTATCAGTGAAAAGCTACAGTATTATTTCACAAGAAGAGGAACTATGTGTATGCTTAAATGATGAAATCAAAATATTTTATCCTCTGTCTCAAAAAGGAAGGATATTGCACCCAGTTCTTTTGCAGAGGGGAGGAAGGGGTTTTCTAAGAAAGGTAAAATATTATGAACTTACATCAATGAAACAAAAATTTGCACTGAGGCCTAGGAGGCACTCAGGGGTGGTGAGTGGGGTGTCAGTGCAGCAAGATTAGCATTTCTATGCCCCCGAGATTCACTCTTGTTGAAGATAAGGCTAAGGAGGGTGATGAGTCTAAGACAAACCATACTTAGAATAATCTGGACTATTAGTGCTGGGGGAAAGTTAGGGAAATAATCCTGAAAGTTCGCTGGGTAGACAGGGCAGCTCAAGCAGATGGGGTCCCTTGCTAGGTAGTGGGCCATCCTTGGATTTGCTCCCCGAGAGTTTCCTGCAGAGAGCTGACGTGAAGGGACAATGAAGAAACTGTCCCCTAGGACTGGAGGGTGTCCCTGAAGACCACTGGGATAGCCCCTCACAGCCCCTGCGCTGCTGACCTCAGCTATGGCGGCTTGGCCCAAAGCCCCTCCTCAGGGGCCTGAGTGTCACCCAGGCACCTAGCCACATAACTGCCGCTTCCTGTCTCCTTGACCATTCACCAAGCCCTGCACATTTTACCTCCTAAAGCTCTTTCGGTTTTTACCCTCCATTTACTGTCCTATCCCAGTCTCTCCTCCTCTCCCGCCTGGACTCACGAGACCCCTTCCTGAGTGGTCTTGCTGGGTCTCCTGGGGATGATTGTGTATCTTCCTTAAAATATACTCTTAAGGCCCTCCCTGGTGGCGCAGCGGGTTAAAGCGCAGCACTGAGAATCTAAAGCTGCTTCCGCATGAGTTCGATTTCCGCCTGCCCCGGAGGTGACCACATGGCGTGGCAGACCTCTCCTGACCCGCCCACTGCTCCCCTCAGCAGTGTACTTCATCAATCTGCCTGTTCTGTTCCCCACTCTGTCTCTGGTGAAGCCTCTCACCGTCCCTGAGCCTCTGGCCTGTACCCCAGTTCTGTATGCACAAATAAATAAATCTTTTAAAAATATATATATATATACTCATAAAACTGTAATTGGGATGATCTGAATTACCCATGGCCACTTCCAGCTTAAAATCCACAGGGACTTCTTGCTACCACCTACAGATCCTTGCCGCCTTCTCCAGAGTCATTCCAGAATGTCACTGAGCCTCCCTGTCTGCTGCCAGCAGTGCCACACCAGCACCCTGTCTGTGCCCAGGCCTTGGTGTGAGCTGCGCACTCTGCCTGGCATGTAGCTTCACGTTGTTTGTCTGACTCTGACTCAGTTTTTCCAGACTCAGTTGAAGCGTTAGCTCCCACCGGGACAACTCCAGAACCTTTGTGTCCCCTGTCTCTGAATCTGCGCTTGCCCAGGATAGTTACATGTTTTCTTTGTTGTATCTCCCACTATGTTCCAGGAGCCTCAAAACACAGATACTGTGTCATATTCATCTGTGTACCCCCAGCATGGCATTCTGGAAGCCAGACTGCATCCAGTTACTGAAGTTAGACTCAAACAGAAATTTTGAGTTGACTATGAGAGAGATTTAGAGTGAATGCATCGTATAATATGGATGTGAACTAGACAAGGGTAGAAGTATGGTGATTTCTAATGACTTGCAGAAATCTCTTTTAATTCCATCATTTTTATTGGATGGTTGGGTCCGTGTTTTAATCATGGGTGAACTCCAGCGTTGAGCAGTTGCGCAGTGGGGGGAGGGAGAGGGTGGGGGCAGCAGGATAGAGATGAATTTCCTTCCACATCCTTACTTAGTAAATAGGTGGTAGGTAGATACAGATAGAAAATAGCTGTAGAGTGATAAGTATTGGTGAGTGTAGAGTGATGAGTGTTGGTGTCTAGGTCATAGATAGATTCTACATGATTGATAGGTAACAAATTATGGTAGTTATATAGACAGGATAAATGATAGATGATTAAGTGATAGGTGATAGGCAGAGATGAGCCGTCCACAGAGTTATATCCTTGCATTTGGAGAACCTAACTTTGTAACAGCTGAGAGGAATCATTTGCAACTCTCAGGCACAACTGACTGTCAATTTGTCTTAAAATTCAGGTAGCTTTTTTTTTTAAATAAATACTTTATTTTTGCATAGATAGATTGGGGTTATAGGTCAGTGGTGTGGGAGGTGACAGATTCACCAGAGGGAGTGGTGAGCAGAACAGGTGAATCTACTGAAATGCACTGCTGAGGGGAGCAGCAGGCCAAACAGGAGATGTCTGCTGTGCCATGAGGGTCACTCCCTGGCTGAGGATCAGACTGAACTGTTGTGGTGATAGTGCTGAATCTTAACCTCTAGGCCATCAGGGAGGCCCCATCTCAGATAGCTTTTGTATGTGGGTGATTAAATATGTTTCCCCAAGGAAATGAAGGGGCTAGCGGGCACCTCACTCCCGCAGGACCAAAGGCCCGGGAACCCTTTCTCTTCTGAGAATTCCTCATTGGGCCCCCAGGGAGACCTGCCTCTCTAGCTTAGATGCGACTACTGTGTCCTCCTACTTCTAGTAAATAGCCTCTCAAGTAGCCAAGAGATGTCAGCTTCTACTTCATTACCAGTGAATGCTGGTCGCCACACTGCTTCCCCCTCCCTCGATACATGACTGCACACACTTCAGTGCTCTGGTAGAGACCATTTAGATGCTTTTTCCCAGCGCAGCAGCAGTGTGCAAGCTTTTGCATCCTTTTTGAGATGGTAGCTGCTGAAAGATAATATTAGCTTGCATACATGTATTCTCACCAGATGCTAAGATCTACTCTTGTTAACAATGCCACTTTGAAGTCGGTTGTAATTTGTACACACTATTACTTAACCGATCCTTCTTGAATAAATTACAGTCTATATGGCCACCACACCTTCGGGTCCTACTATCATTTTTGGTAGCACTGATAGACCCACACACATGTTTCTAGAGTTTTACCATCTCCTCATGTCCTCTACGCTCTCCCTCACCCCCATTCTGCTCTTACCTTACCTTGCCCAGAGATGAATGTGGACTGTACTCAGGTATGTCTCCCGTAAGACCCCTTAGCTTGGGCTCATGATTAAGTTTCTCTCTCTGGGTGTATTTCTCACCCTCCTTTTCTTTCTGCTATTAATTATTCTTTTCATGATAAGGCCTCTTTGGCTAACACGAAGATGAGGAAATCTTTGCTCAAAACACATGTCTCAATGTCCAGATTTCGTCAGCTGCTCTCCTACCTCTTTTTCTCTTCCCCAGTGTAGAATAATGAGTTAGACTTGATCAAGCAGGTAGTTCAGGAAGGGTTAGAAGAAAAAGGTTCTCTCAGTTTCTCTCATCCCTGTTACTCCAGGCTTACAGTTGACATAGAGTCTGTCTGCAGGGAGAAGAAGGAACCAGGTCAAAACAGTTTTATTTTCTAAAGTTAGAATACTGGAAACTCAGAATTTTGGAATCAAAAGTAGTATACTTATACATTTAATTTGGCAAGTGATTACTAGAAGCAAAGATTGAATCTCATTCTGAAAAGTAAAACAGAGCAAAATAGCCTAGTGAAAAGAACCTGTCGATGAGACGTGGAACTTGGTGTCACAATTATCAGTGTTTTCACTTTCACACATCACTGGCAAAGTATGTAATTTGCAAAGAAAACATGGACTAAAAGTGAGCATGTCTGGCCCTCCCTGGTGGCGCAGCGGGTTAAAGCACAGCACTAGGAAGCTAAAGCCACTTCTGCATGAGTTCATTCCCCACCCACCCCGAGGTGATCCACATGGGGAGGCAGATCTCTCCTGACCTGTCCGCTGCTCCCCTCAGCAGTGTACTTCATAGATCTGCCTGTTCTGCTGCCTCCTCTGTCTCTGGTGAGGCCTCTCACTGACTCTGTACCTCTGGCCTGTACCCCAGTTCTGTATGAATAAATAAATAAATCTTTTTTTAAAAAAAAGTGAGCATGTTTACTTTTAGCTAGTGACTATTGTATATGTTTCAATGATCTATTTATTGTATTATATATAAGAATTCTGAGTGTTTACAAAGTCTTTTACGGTTTCTAAGTATTTAGAAAATAGTCATTTCATTTGCCCATGAGTCATTAGTTCAAATTGAAGCTCAATTTAGTTCTCCTTGTAGCTCTCCTACAAGTTCTTCCTTCAGCTTATGGTGACCTATGTAGATTTTTTTTTAGCATTGTACCTTTTCTGTCTGTTTTTCAGGTTCCTAATTTTGTATAAGAAGAAAGGCTTAAACAAAAGAAGAAAAAGAAGAGGTGCTTCGATTGTTGGGAGTGTGAACTCCTAGCTAATTGCTACAAGCCCTGGGGTCTGCTTCTGACTGGACAGATCCCAGAAGCCCAGCATGGTTTCTGTGGCTGCATAGAGCTGCCTGCTAGGGAGGAGTCTCCAGCTGCAGGGAGCCATGGCAGCCTCCAGAGCTGCCTCCAGGTCCCCTCGGTCCCCTCGAGACATTGCCAACGTGATGCAGAGGCTGCAAGGTAAGAGCACAAGCGTCAGGCTTGGCTGTGGTTTTGAAGTTCACTTTTTAAGTATAAATACCCATTGAACCCTTATCAGCATGCTCGTATTTTTACTCGATTTTGTGAAACTACAGCAAGGACTAGCAAAAACCATGTCATCAAACAAGTCCTGCTGTTTTAAGATGCTGTTTTTTTTTTTTAATGGAGAAAAAAAGGCGAAGCTCTCTTCAGGCTTGGTATCTCAGGAGTGTGACCTGAATGATGATACGGTGTCCCATGGGAAATTGAGCATTCTCCCCATAGTGCCCTTGGGTTACTGATACTGAAACAGCACAGTGACAGTGCCCAAAAGCTCATTGTGACAGTGGCACTCAAGTGGCTGTTGTCAAATAGGTAAAGCGGTGGTTGGCTTGCCCCAGCTGGTAGCACTTAGAGGCCTGGAAAGTCTGTAATGACAGTTTGGTGTCGAGGTTCTGAGGGGTAAAATGACATGACGAGATGAGTGCTTGGAGCCAGCATCGGGACGAGACCACATCCCTCACCACTGTTCTTTTGCAATCGGCAAATTGTCTTTTAGAAGAGCATAGCAGTGAAATGTTATGGAAGTGCACAGATGAATTCTCCTTTATGAATTTTCTTTAGATATCTATCTTCTTTGAACTGCTAAAAGAATCATTATCAATAGTTATGTGAATGATAATGTGGCTTTTTGTCACGATCCCTCTGCTACCCCTTACAGGCTTTACATGGCTACTCTTAGCTCTACATATTTAGCAGGACATAGAAGTATCCGAGTTAGCAGTGTTTTGCACAACATTTTGTCAAGGGAGCTTGACGGCAGTGTTATGAGTTGACTGTCAGGTTTTCTAGAATCTCCAGCAAGTGATCGTTGTGGTTTGGCACTAGTCACATTGCCATGGCCTCGTTTCCTTCCTTCCTGTGTGTCTGATGTGTATGTCAGTGATTTCCACCAAAGGGCTTTTTGATAAACTCTTAAATCTGGATACTCGTACCCAGAACTTACTCATAGCTGTAGATAATCAGGATCTTAGTGGAACTGGGAGCTTCTCCACATCTGATGGAGGCTGCCTGTGTGACTGAAGCTCCCACAGGTTCATCTGCCTTCATGCACTTGAACTTTCTTATGTTCCCTGTTGGGAGATCTACTTGTCAGGCCGGCAGAGCCTGGTTAGAACAGAACAGATCTTTGTGGACAGGTGAACATGAGCTTCTCTCATCGACTGAGCATTCTGGTTGGCTCTGGCCAGTGCGGTGGGTCTCCAGTCAGTACACACTGTTTATCCAGATTTATTTTTTTTTTTTTTGCATAGACAATTGGGGTATAGGCCTGAGGTGTGGGGGTGGGGAGAACATTCACCAAAGACAGAGCGGGGAGCAGAACAGGTGGATCTACAGAAATACAATGTCAGGGGAGTGGAGGGTGAGACAGGAGAGGTCTGCTGTGCCATGTGGGTCATCCCCCTGGCTGGGGATTGCATTCAGGGCATAGAGGTGATTGCCGGAGACTGAACCCCCAGGTCTCCGGGGAGGCTACTTGCTCCTCCAGACGGGGCAGGACAGGACAGCTGGCTGAAATTGGCACTCCATGTCTTTGTGTCTCTTTGCTGCTGTTTTTTTTTTTTTTTTTTTTTGGTTTGGACACCAATTACTGGACTATTTTGTTCCTCAGTGACTTTGCCTTCGAAATGATGGAAAGGAATCTTAAAAGTTCCTTGAAAAGTGAGGAAAATGAGTATGAAAGCAAATTTTTGTGTGACACTGTACTCCTGAAATGATATCATAGTTATCAATGGTAATCAATAACACTTTATGTTTAAAAAAGATTTTCTTTGCAGTCATTAAGTATGAACATTGAATGAGATACATATTGGCAGTAAGGGAAAGTTGTAAAGACTGAGTTGGCAAAAAGAAAACCTAATCAATTGAAAATCAGATTAGGTGTCACGGACACCTCTTTATTCGTATTTTGGTTTGAGTGAAAATTCAAATGCTGAGGGGTGAGGAGAGAAAGAACAACACTAGTGTGTCAGGGTTTTATTATTTTGTCCTGGGCGGTTGTAGTAGATTTGTAGGCGGTTTTCTTGTAGTGGGTGCATTCGTGGCTGTTCTCATAGGGGCTATGTCGGCGGTTGTCACGGTGAGTGAAAGAAGCGCTGAAGCCCCGCCC